CTCCGGTGTAAGGTCCGCATATATCTGGATATCCATTTCTCCATATCTGATTACTGCTTTTCCTTTGATCTTTCTCCAGATGGCTTCTTTATCTCTATAATTGTTGAGTTTAACAATTACGTCCCTTGTTTTTTCTTTCCCATTGCCTTGTTGGAGCTTTCCTACTCTCACAATATCTCCCAAGTCAATCACCTCCAGGGCAGGTCTGTCCAATATGGAGTAAAAACATTTTTTTCTTAATTCTTTCCCCTTTTACATTCTCTGGGACTCCCCTTATCCTAAGGTTGCTCCTCCTATTCCAATTTTCTTGAACTTCCATCTTATATATCAATTTTTCCTGTATTTTCCCCATATTCTTTATTTTCTTTTCTAATTCCACAATATTTTGAGCCTGTTTTTCACTTTTCTCCTTCATTTCTTCCACTCTCCCCAGCACCTGCCCTAGATCCTTTCGAATAGTTGCCATTTCTTGTTTTATTATCATCTCTAGATCTTTAAACATCTCTGCCATTTCTTTTTTATTTTGGCACTTGTAGTTCACTTTCATTCTCTCTCATCTCCATGGCTCCTATTGTTTGTTGGCTACTGATATTTAGTCCCAGCGATAGTCTAGGGCTGCTTTCCACACTAATATCCCCTTCACCTTTTCCATTTTTATCTTGAGCTCTTTCTGGGGTCACTTTTCCCTGGGATGTATATTATTTAATCGTTCCCATTTGGGGCCCTTTTGCCCCACTTCCTTTACTGCTTTTGTTCTTGATTTCTTTCATGGGCATTGCTCTCTTTTATGCAAAGATGGTTCACATAGATAAAAGGTCCCAGCCTAGCCCAACTGATGACCGGTTCTCCTCCTTTTAAGTTGCTTAATTAATCTTCCTCTTTCTCTCTCTCCTCTTCTTTTATTTCAGGAGCCCCTGGGAATCCCCCTTATCTCCCCCTCTCCCCTTATCTTCCTCAACAGCACTATTTGACATTAATAAATGCAACAGTTCCAAAGTCTCTCACTCACCCATGTCTCTCGTCCCTTGCTGTGTAGAAGACAGGGGTTTCAGGTATCCAGCTCCTCTGTGCTGATATCCAGCTCCTCTGCGCCTTGGGGGGGATTCCCCTGGGCAGTTTCTCTTCCTTCTCCCGATTCCATAGGGGTCCTTCACAGAGAGGCTCTTTCAAAGGCCTCACCCCTCTGCACGACCAGCCAGGGGGTATGATTAGGGAGCAAGACACAGGGAGCAGAAAGCCGCCTTCTCCCTTACTCCACAAGCCGGCCGGCTTCCTCCGCTCCCAGTGCTCCTTTGCGGTAGTCACGTGACCCGCCTGCTCTTCCTGTCACCCGGCAACCCGACTGTCTGATCCGCCGGGCTCTGGGCGGACCTCTCTCTTCACTCCACGGCTCTGAACCTCCGCTCCGCCACCAGTCCCCCCTGATTCTCGGGTAAGTCTCGGCTTTTACTCCATTTGAAAGGCCCCTGGGAAGGTTTGTGGAGGAGCTTAGCTGAGAGCTCCTATCTCCAGCCCTCAGCTGCCGCCAAGTTCAGGCTCCTCCCTTGTTTTCTCTGTGAGACTACTACTTTATTTTTAACACAGATACAAGAAATATACATTCAAGGGAACAACCTCCCCCCCCCCCCCCGTATAATGACACAGGGCTGGGCAATCTACATTTAGTAACAAGAGACACACCAATAGACAGTCCCATCAAGAGGGAGGCTGTTGGAGACACCCCCCCGAACCCAGTCCACATAAACACATACATAATAGTTTGCTCCCAAGCAAGACACACAATAGAACAATGGGATGCAACCACATGGCATTAAACGATCCACAACCCCCACCTATCTCCTATATTAAGAAACATCGCCCTGTACATCTAACAAGCACAGGGCGACTTACACATAAGAGGGATATGGAGAGCTAAGACGGGTTTCCCCACCCCTCCAAAGTGAGCCGTGTTCTATGGGCTTTTTGAGCTGTTTAGCTGATATTTTTCATGCTTTTACTTGAAGCACTTTACTGTTTCACTCAGCTCATTACAGTCATGATGCACTTTACCATATTGTTTGATTTTTTTTAGATTTCGCAATGACTTTACCATTCCGCAATATATAAATATATTTATTTACTTTTTTTTTGCCTTGGGGGCAAGCTGCACATGCTAACTTTGATGTGTATTGCTACACAGTTTTTTTTTTTTTTTCTTGGGAGAGTGCATGTGACCAGCACAGGGCCAATCAGCACTTCCAGACAGAGATCAGAGGTTCTGCATCCTCCTAGAACAAAAATGAAAACTCCTTCTACAAGTTTTAACCAGTTGCTCTGCTGGACATTGATAGAAGTCACAAGACAGCTATATACTGCTGATGAGAAAAGGGATTTAGCAGTTTACTAAAATAATTGCATTTCCATGTTCTGTGTACTGTGGGAGAGCGGATATAGTGAATGCAGGGTCCGGGGAGAGCGGATATAGTGAATGCGGGGTCAGGGGAGAGCGGATATAGTGAATGCGGGGTCTGGGGAGGAGCGGATATAGTGAATGCGGAGTCTGGGGAGAGCGGATATAGTGAATTCGGGGTCTAGGGAAGCGGATATAGTGAATGCGGGTCCGGGGAGAGTGGATATAGTGAATGCGGGGGTCCAGGAAAGCGAATATAGTGAATGCAGGGTCAGGGGAGAGCGGATATAGTGAATTGCTGGGTCCGGGAGAGCGGATATAGTGAATGCGGAGTCTAGGGAGAGCGGATATAGTGAATGCGGGGTCCGGGAGAGAGCGGGATATAGTGAATGCGGGGTCCGGGGAGAACGGATATAGTGAATGTGGGGTCCGGGGAGAGCGGATATAGTGAATGCGTGGGTCCAGGGAGAACGGATATAGTGAATGTGTGGGATCCGGGGAGAGCAGGGATATAGTGAATGCGGGGTCTAGGGAGAGCTGATATAGTGAATGTGGGGTCTGGGGAGAGTGGATATATGTGAATGCGGGGTCCAAAGAGAGCGGATATAGTGAATGCGGGGTCCAAAGAGAGCGGATATAGTGAATGTGGGGTCTGGGGAGAGTGGATATAGTGAATGCGGGGTCCAAAGAAGCGGATATAGTGAATGCGGGGTCAAAAGAGAGCGATATAGGTGAATGCGGGGTCCGGGGAGAGTGGATATAGTGAATGCGGGGCTCAGGGAGAGCGGATATAGTGAATGCGGGGTCTAGGGAGAGCTGATATAGTGAATGTGGGGTCTGGGGAGAGTGGATATAGTGAATGCGGGGTCCAAAGAGAGCGGATATAGTGAATGCGGGGTCCAAAGAGAGCGGATATAGTGAATGTGGGGTCTGGGGAGAGTGGATATAGTGAATGCGGGGTCCAAAAAGAGCGGATATAGTGAATGCGGGGTCCAAAGAGAGCGGATATAGTGATGCGGGGTCCGGGGAGAGCGATATAGTGAATGCGGGGTCCGGGAGAGTGAATATAGTGAATGTGGGGTCTGGAGAAACCGGATATAGTGAATGCGGGGTCTGGGGAGAGCGGATATAGTGAATGCGGGGTCCGGGGAGAGCGATGTAGTGAATGCGGGGTCCGGGCAGACTGGATATAGTGAATGCGGAGTCTGGGGAGAGCGGATATAGTGAATGCGGGGTCTAGGGAGAACGGATATAGTGAATGCGGGGTCCGGGGAGAGCGGATATAGTGAATGCGGGGTCCAGGAAAGCGAATATAGTGAATGCAGGGTCCGGGGAGAGCGGATATAGTGAATGCGGGGTCCGGGAGAGCGGATAGTGAATGCGGAGTCTAGGGGGAGAGCGGATATAGTGAATGCGGGGTCCGGGGAGAGCGGATATAGTGAATGCGGGGGGTCCGGGAGAACGGATATAGTGAATGTGGGGTCCGGGGAGAGCGGATATAGTAAATGCGGGGTCCGGGGAGAGCGGATATAGTGAATGCGGGGTCCGGGGGAGAGAGGATATAGTGAATGCAGGGGTCCGGGGAGAGCGGATATAGGGAATGTGGGGTCCGGGAAAGTGGATATAGTGAATGCGGGGTCCGGGGAGAGCGGATATAGTGAATGCGGGGTCCGGGAGAGTGAATATAGTGAATGCAGGGTCCCTGGGAGAGAGGATATAGTGAATGCGGGGTCCGGGGAGAGCGGATATAGTGAATGTAGGGTCCGGGAGAGCGATATAGTGAATGCGGGTCCGGGGAGAGCGGATGTATGAATGCGGGGTCCGGGGAGAGCGGATGTAGTGAATGTGGGTCTCCGGGGAGAGCGGATATTGTGAATGCAGGGTCCGGGGAGAGCGGATATAGTGAATGCGGGATCCAGGGGGGAGAGCGGGTATAGTGAATGCGGGGTCCGGGGAGAGCGGATATAGTGAATGCGGAGTCTAGGGAGAGCGGATATAGTGAATGCGGGGTCCGGGGAGAGCGGATATAGTGAATGCGGGGTCCGGGGGAGAATGGATATAGTGAATGTGGGGTCCGGGGAGAGCGGATATAGTAAATGCGGGGTCCGGGGAGAGCGGATATAGTGAATGCGGGGTCCGGGGAGAGAGGATATAGGGAATGTGGGGTCCGGGAAAGTGAAAGTGGATATAGTGAATGCGGGGTCCGGGGAGAGCGGATATAGTGAATGCGGGGTCCGGGGAGAGTGAATATAGTGAATGCGGGGTCCGGGGAGAGAGGATATATAGTGAATGCGGGGTCCGGGGAGAGCGGATATAGTGAATGCGGGGTCCGGGGAGAGCGGATATAGTGAATGCGGGTCCGGGGAGAGCGGATGTAGTGAATGTGGGGTCCGGGGAGAGCTGATTATAGTGAATGCGGGGTCCGGGGGAGAGCGGATATAGTGAATGCGGGGTCCGGGAATTAGTAACACTTTAAGTGGAATTAGCCTTTAGTATAGAATAATGAATAATTGTGTCTTTCCTTGTACAGTTAAGCCGCAGACGGCGCTGAGCCATGATCAACAGATTGAAGAGGAATCAGGGGATCTGTACGTCCGTTTGTGAAGTCAATAATTTTTACCCAGAAGCTGTGACGATCCGATGGGTTAAATTCAGTAAAAGTAACAGCAGGAACTCACCTTGGGACAAGGACGTTTCTGTCACAACTCTATTGGGGAACAGCGATGGGACATTTAGTGTGACCAGTGTGCTGACTGTGGAGCCGACTAACAGACGCGTGAACCCGGAGATGTATTCTTCTGTATTGTCAGCCACAGATCCCTGGAGGAGGAATTATTACTCTCAGCTTTACCATGACAAGTAAGTAGTCTTAAGCCTCGAACACACATATGAGAATATTGGATGAATGATCGTCCGTTTTATTTGGGGGGGGGGGGTTTGCCTTCTACTCTCATATCGAAAGTGAAGAGGTTGCTAAAGATCCAAAAAATTCAAGTGATTTTGACCTGTAAGAGGACAGGTCAAAAAGTGGAGGTGAGCTCAGGAGGGAACGGTGGTGGACACGCGGTGTGTTTGTTCACAACTATATGGGAAGTGCTGCATGTTTATCACGGACGATAATATAAAGCCGCACACTTTATGAAGGAAGATAAGAATAAGCGCAATTCATGAAACTGTGAACATTACATCACATGTGTTTTTAGGTTAAACCCTCGCCCTCCAGTGAGATTTCCCCTCTTCCTGAGCAGGCCATTTTTTTGCGTTATGGCGCAGTGTTATTTTAACTGACAATTGGGCACGGTCATGCAACGCGTCACCCAAATGAAAATTTATATCCTCTTTTTTCCACAAATAGAACTTTCTTTTGGTGGCATTTGATCACCTCTGTGTTTTTTATTTTTGTCACTATTACAAAAAGAACTACAGTTTTTGTTCTGTCTCTCCAATCTAAGCATTGAAAGTGTGATCTCTGTAACTTACAGTTGTGATGAGATAGCGATAACTCCAATCTTAGTTGAATAACACAGGCAGTGACTCAATCAGATGACACCTTGTAATCTTGTCAAGTTTATTCCATAAACTGAGAGAATCTTACAACAATGAACATCGGATAGTCAAAAGATCATAATGTGATCTGCTTCATGACATGAGGCCTTAAAAGCTGAAATGCCTTACTGGGAAAAGGGGGGTGGAGCTATCTATACAACATGAAACTAAACCAGAGGAAAGGAGGAGCAGAGATAAAGTACAAAGAACACTTAAAGGCATATGGACAGTCATGTGAAACTTAACTGTTTTGAAGAAAAAAAAACACGTTTTTGACTTTTTGCTATAAAACATGTCCAATAAAAAAAAAAAAATTAAAAATCAAATTTCGTCATAAATTTAGGCCAAAATGTATTCTGCTAAAAAATAAAAAATCTCAATACGTGTAAATTAATTGGTTTATGGAAAGCTATAGCGTCTACAAATGGCGGTATATAGATACTGGGAATTACTTTTTTTTTTAATACTAGTAATGGCGAGATCAGCGACTGCGGCGGGCATCCTGACACTGGTGGGAACTGACTACCTGCCATTGATATCCCCAGTGACACCAATACAATGATCAGTGCTAATAAAAAAGCACTGACACTGTACTAATAGCATTGGACAGGAAGGGGTTAAACATCTGGTGTGATCAAAGGGTTATCTGTGTGCTGTTTTACTAGGAAAAGAGATACAAAGCAGCATGTCCTTGCTGGCAGGAGTGAGACCTCTGTTGTTTACATACAGCTCGCTCACACCTGTCAAGCTTTGCCGACGATCACTGAGTGATCGGCATCCCCAGTTGCCAATAGTGGAGCGCGTGTAGGTGCGCCCCCTATCCGAAAATGTAAAGTGTGTGTGTGTGGCCCTGCCACCCTGTAGCAGTACTTCTGATATAGGGTGGAGGGCGAGCCACGCGGTTAATATTCTAATCAATAAATGCAGTTTTGTACAACACTCACGTATGGTTCACCACATTGGTCCCTTAATGTAACCTCCTTCTGGTGGACATCTAGTTCACAAAAACCTCACTTTGCTGAGAAGTAGTGTTTGGTTTCTGGGACCACAGCTATGTTTAGTGAGCGGATACCCTGAACACTAGTAGCCTCCTATTCTAACCTAATATCTAATCCAGTAATATAAATGCTTCACCTGCAATGATAAATTGTACAGTCAGTATATATAGAAGTTGTTGGGTTCTCCAGACATGCAGGACTGAGATAATATCCTGTTGTGTATTTTCTTTTATAGGACGAATCCAGGAATAGGTATTTCTATGGCTGCAGTTTGTTGTATTCACAATCTTTATGTTTCACATACTGTTTTGAGGATCGGTTTTATTCACAGTAAGTTGTTTTTGCTCTTTTTATCTGAAGTAAATAAATGCCGCAAGGTGTGTATATGTCATTAGAACTGTTATATAACCTCAGATTAGACGTGAGGGACAAAAACATTTCAGTTAGTTTCATAACATTCATTAACCACATCGCCCTCCTGAGATTTACACCCCCTTCCTGACCAGGCAATTTTTTTGTTGTTGGGCACTGCCTGTTTCAACTGTAATTGCGCAGCTCCATGCAATGTTGCACCCAAACAAAATTATCTGTCCTTATTTTTCACCAAATAGAGCTTTTTTTTTGGGGGTTTTTGATCACCTCTGGGGGGTTTTTTTATTTTTTTGCGCTATAAACAAAAAAGGCCAAAAATTTTTGGGGGAAAAAAAAAGAAAATTTTTAAATTTTTGGGTTTAAAAAAATATGCAAAAAAACTCAAGCTAGCCCTTTAAATTTAGGCCCTAAAATGTATTCTGCTACATGCCCCTTTGGGAAAAAAAAAAATCTCAATTTTTTGGAAAATTTGGTTTGTGTAACAGTTATAGTGTCTAAAAAATTATGGTGTAAAACGGGAAATTTTTCCGTAGTTTTTAAATTTCGGACTATCATATTTCTTGGGGTTTTTAAAATTTTTCCAAAGGCCCATTTCCCCCCCCTCCCCCCAAAAAATGACCCCTTTTGGAAAGTAGACACCCCAAGGTTTTTGAGGAGGCATGTTGAGTCCATGGAACATTTTTTGAATACGACAATTTTTTTTTTAAACCCAAATTGTCACTTTTAAAGATTTATTGCTCGTTCCTGCCCATGGGTATATGTGGAATAAAACCCCCAAAAAACCCTTCGTCTACTTCTTCCCGAGTAAAGGGGGTTTCCACATGTGGGGGAATTTTTTTAATTTTTTTTTTTTGGGAACCAGCTACATTTCCCGGCCCCCCAAAAACCAATGACCACCCGCCCGGCTTTCAAAGGGGGGATATTTCTTTATATCCTTCCCCCTTTTTTATCACAGTTTCAAAAGGGCCCCAAAATGCAAATAAAGTACAAACCCCCCCCCCCCCAAAAAAAGTCCCCCTTTTTTAAAAAATGACACTCCATTTTTTTTTTTTTTTTAATTTATTTTTCCCAAAAAAAAATGTTTGCAAAAAAATGAGATCTGCAAAAACTCACCATGCCTCCCATCAAATACCTTGGAGTGTCCCACTTTCCAAAAAAGGGGTCATTTGGAGGGGGGGGGGGGGGGGGGGTTTTTACTATCCCCGGCATTTCAGGGCCAATTTTTAAAGCTTTTTCAAAACATACCCATCTTTGAAAGGACAAAGGCCTTTTCTAACAAATTTTTTTTTCACATAAAAAAAAAGTTTTTTTTTTTTTTAAACCCCCAAATTTTTTTACATTTTATAAAATATATAAAATATATATTTTTTTTTTTTTTTTTTTTAAAAAGGGGGCCCCAGAGAATAAAATGGTGGGTTTTTGAAATTTTTTTATACACACAGTATTTGCGAACGATTTTTTTAAAAAGCAAATCTTTTGGGGAAAAAAAAACTTTTTAGAAATTTTTAAAGCACAAACAAACACAATATATTGCCCAATTTGTTTTGGGGAAAAAATATAAAAATGTTACGCTGGGGTAAATAGATACCAAACTTTACATGCTTTAAAAAATTTTGGGAAGTCTGTGCAATGGCTTTCCCCAATACATCATTTTTATTTTCGATAGGTTTATGCTTTAAAACCCCCCCGGAGGTATTCCCGGTGTAGCTCGGGGGAAAGTTTCACTAAACCCCAAGTAAAAAAACCCCCCCCTTTCACTCGGAAAAACCATGCAGCGTTGCCTCCGGGAAACCCTCGTCACTTTCCTTGTCCTGCGCTCCCCGCGATGTGCCCCCATGCAGTGTCCCCGGGAATGTCCTCCGGCCGCTGGGCCCGGTTTTGTCTTCCGGGTTCCGTTCCCTGCGACTCGGGACGTACGGGGGCGGAACTGGGGGGAATTTGAAAAAAAGTAAAAGTTTACATTTGCTAAATTTTACTAAAATACTAGTTTTAAAATTCCTGTATCAAACCATTTTAAAATAATTTTGTCCCGAGTTCTTTTTCCGGGGCCCCTGCCCTTTTTTACCGCCCCTTTTGCCTGGGAAAAATGAAAACGTCCATGGCGTCCAAAAGCGCCCTTTTTGGTCAAAAGTGGGTTTTTGACCGGGTAGAGAACAGCGATAGTAAATCAGAACCACTTGCAGAAATTTAGGGGATAATTTTTTTTGGGGGGGGAAATTCCTCATCAAACACTGAAAAAGATTCTGGGGGGCCCCCCCCCTTGCCCCCCCC